GTTAGGACTTGGTTTCTGGTCCACTTTGTTTTTGTTATTGAAGTTGAATTTGGTGAATGCTCCCTCGTGTCTAATCTCATTATGTCAGTCTGGGGCTCCACGCATACATGTCTGAACCTCAATTATGTTGTGATCTGAGTATATTGTTTTTGATATGGTGACATTTCTTATCAGATCATCATTTTTAGTGAAGATGAGGTCTAGTGTATTCTCCAGTCTAGTAGGCTCTATTATTTGCTGGTTTAAATTGAATTTTGTGCAGAGATTTAAAAACTCATGTGAGTGTGAATTTTCATCAGAGCTGCCTCCTGGTGTTATTACTGCAACAATATTATTTGCTATATTCCTCCATTTTAGGTGCCTTAAGTTGAAATATCCCAGGAGCAAGATGTTGGGTGCAGGAGCTGGAAGATTTTCCAGACAGTGGTCAATTTTTAACAGCTGTTCCTGGAATTGCTGGGATGTTGCATCCGGAGGCTTGTAGACTACCACAATGACTAGGTTTTGGTTCTCGACCTTTATTGCTAAAACTTACACTACATCATTTGAGGCATTAAGCAGTTCTGTGCAAACAAGTGACTCTGCGATGTACAGGCCAACCTCCCCCTTTTGCCTGTTCACTCTGTCACATCTAATACTATATAATACATATAATAATACATATACTGTAATACTATATAATAATAAAATAATAATAATGTAATATAATACGTAATAGTACAGTAATAATAATTATAATAATAATACTATATACGTACTACGTATAATTTAGTTTGACAACACCACCACAATGCTCACCAGTGCACATGTGCTTATGGAGCTACCCTCGTGGTGCAAGGAATTCAATTGATGTCCTTACGTTTCATGCAGTTAATTCATCAGATTTCTTTCTTCTAACCATGGGTCCTAAGAAATAAAGTGCAAGAAAAAGAGGATGATTTGCATGAAATTAAAGCAAGAAATCATTGATAAGCACAGACTAGGTACGAGGGTCAAGGACTTGGCGAGTGAGTACAAGCATAGCCCCTCTACTATATACATGTATATAATACTAAAGCAGGAGTCTATAAAGGCTATAGCGCCAGCAAAGGGCATTACAGTAATTTCTAAGCAGCGGACCTCTGTCACTGTAAAGATGGAAAGCTGTTGCTGTTGACATGGTTGACGGAGAAACAGCTCACAGGAGATACAGTGGACCCCCGGTTAACGAACTTTTTTCATTCCAGTAGTATGTTCAGGTGCCAGTACTGACCGAATTTTTTCCCATAAGGAATATTGTGAAGTAGATTAGTCCATTTCAGACCCCCAAACATACACGTACAAACGCACTTACATAAATACACTTACATAATTGGTCGCATTTGGAGGTGATCGTTAAGCGGGGGTCCACTGTACATAGCAGTTCTTAAGAAAAGTGTGAACTCCTGACAGGGTATGCCGCTCTGCATTTCTTCTCCAAGATATGTAAATGTCATATGTACACCAGATCTAATTCAGTTAGCCTCACAAACTCCGTTTTCTCTTATAATAACACCTCTGACGTTTTGAAAGCGAGAGTGCTCGCCCACTCTTGCGACCACAATCCTCCTCCCTCTCCTGTCCACATGTCATATTTTATTCATTCTAGAGTGTATATCAGGTTTCTGTGTTATTTATATTGTTTATTATGTCATATTAGATGAATTGTGACAGGTAAATAAGCTGTAGAGTTGATGTTAGGGTTATTTTGTCATGCCTCCTGAGAGCAGGATTTCAGCTGGAACAAATTAATTGCATTTCAGTTAATTTAAGCCCTTGTGGCTTAGCGCTTCTTTTTGATTATAATAATAATAATCAGTTAATTTAAATGAGGAAAATTGACCCAGCATACGAACAAATCAGGATATGAACAAGTCCACGGAACGGATTAAATTCGTAAGCTGAGGTTCCACTGTATTTGCTAAAGAAATAAGTAAATTAATAACTACTGCCACTGAATAAGTAAATAAAGCAGATAATTACTCTAACTAAATACCAGTAGTGAAAAGTTACAGACTTGCCACCTACATGCTGGGTAATTATCTTAAGCTTCATCTCCAAGTAAACACTTTTGCACCATCATAGTCAAAATATAAGTTGAGCCACCATAAGTAGAGCAGCACTGTATTCTGATGGCAATCTCTGTGAATAGCAACCTTCCTCACTTCCTCCATGTTGGCATCTGATTTTGACATTGATGGACAGCCAGAGCATTCTTCATAGTTATAACTATGTCCATAATTTTTAAAAGGGGGTGGACCAGTAAGCCAGCAGAAGGCCTTGGTCAGATGATCAAAAGCTCCAGCAGTGGGCCATCATCTGACTAAGACCCATGTCAGGAAATGCTTGTCCTGTTTCCTGACGAATCTTACCCAACCTAACCTTCATCCTCGACTTTGACATTCATCCTGCTTTGAATTAAAAACACAGTCCACCACTTTACTTTATCTCCAAATGTATGCTGAAGCATTTTATGAGTTTCTCAACTGTTTTACCAGCTTGAAAAAAGAATTTCAATGTTATTTCTCTTAAAGATTTCATTCTGATATATAAAAAAAACTCCTAGGTAGTAGGTTGGTAGACAGCAACCGCCCAGGGAGGTACTACCGTCCTGCCAAGTGAGTGTAAAACGGAAACCTGTAATTGTTTTACGTGATGGTAGGATTGCTTGTGTCTTTTTTCTGTCTCAAAAATGTGCAGGATTTCAGGTATGGCTTGCTACTTCTGCTTACACTTAGGTCACACTACACATGCATTTACAAGAATATATATACACACTCCTCTGGGTTTTCTTCTATTTTCTTACTAGTTCTTGTTTATTTCCTCTGATCTCCATGGGAAAGTGGAACAGAATTCTTCCTCCGTAAGCCATGTGTATTGCAAGAGGCAACTAAAATGCCAGGAGCAAAGGGCTAGTAACCCATTCTCTTGTATACATTACTAAAGTTAACAAGAGAAACTTTCGTTTTTCTTTTTAGGTCACCCTGCCTCGGTGGGATATGGCTAGTTTGATGAAAGAAAAATGTAAAAAGCTCACAACAGTGCACTAACATGACAGAAAACGCCTGTTTTAAACTTGCTACACTGCTTCACAAAGGAGTATACTGCAAAGCACAGCCTGAGTAATCTATATTGTGTACAATCTTCTAGTTGAAATCTGACATATAATAATTTTAGCTTTTTCTTGGATTTGTACATGTATGTTTGCATATACGTACTATATACAGCAAGCAGACTTATCCACACATGGATTCATATACCTTATTCATTTTACTTAACATTCTGTATTTTCTTATATTTTGTACTCTGCATGGCTTCTTGCACACGTGTGCTTGCACTGCATTTTGCCGAAAGCAGTTTTTGGGATGTCGTATGGTAGTACTCTTTAATTATTTGTATTGTTATGATGAAATACATTATCACCAATATTTCAATTTAACTTTGGTATATAATACTTTATATAGCAGCTCCCATTATTAGATATTCACCTTACATAAATATGTCGTCATAAACTAGGTTTATTACCCTGCATTCACAACATATTTTGTCATTAAGGAATGCTAGATTATCTGAAAATAATTTTTGGGGTTCCCTGCCCCTCAGCCAGGTCCTAGACCAGGCCTCATTGATGATTATTTTGAATTACCCATTTATTTTGATGGTTACTGTTAAATGCTTTTGTAAATGTAAGATATTTTGTGTTTATTTGTTATTGTTTCTACATAACTGTATAATGTACTGTAATTAGTAAGAATTTTCAGAGGATGACTTTCTTGAGAATGAAACCTTTGTATCCACAGTAATCTTGGCTTGAAGTTGCTTTTCCATTTTTATTTTTCTGTTGATGGTTCATATGTTAATCTAATGTCTATTTTTTTTTTCATTTTTTTTTTTTTTTTTGGGGGGGGGGGGGGTTGGTACTGTACATAGTGTTTTTAGTGCAAGGAAATTAAGACTGCTTGAATTTTGACAGTGATGAGCTTGTCTTCAAAAATTCATCCAAATAAGCATTTGTAGTATTGTTTGAATTCTATTTAATGGCTAAACATGTAGGTGGTGTTATAATAATGCTTGCATTTTCATTAAATGCAGGGAAAGGCATTTACAATGCAAACAACTTGGAGAATGCAGAGCAATAGAATGCAGCAGTTGTATTAAGCTTGTACAAGCCTGATGAACCTAGTGTTAGTGAATATTGTCATGAAAATTTTATGAATATTTGTATTCTTTAATGTTGCCATTCAACAGATCAACAAAATCGGAAAAGCTGTACAGCAGCAGCATTAGTGGACGTGAGGGTTACCACGCCTCGCAGCCCACCAGCCCGACACCACCTGGGGGAGTGCGGCTGCCAATATCACCACTTAATACAGTTAGAGGTTCACCATACTACTCGACAGTTATTCCCAGAACTTCAAAGGATGATGAATGTGAGTTCTTATAATGAATCATTTCTAGATCTGATAAAAATTTTCATTACTACAATAAAATTAAGGAATTTATACCTTTAATAAATTACGAACTAATTTATTTTAGTTATTTATGAATATTTTTTTATTTTTTATCACACTGGCCGATTCCCACCAAGGCAGGGTGGCCCGAAAAAGAAAAACTTTCACCATCGTTCACTCCATCACTGTCTTGCCAGAAGGATGCTTTACACTACAGTTTTTAAACTGCAACATTAACACCCCTCCTTCAGAGTGCAGGCACTGTACTTCCCATCTCCAGGACTCAAGTCCAGCCTGCCGGTTTCCCTGAACCCCTTCATAAATGTTACTTTGCTCACACTCCAACAGCACGTCAAGTATTAAAAACCATTTGTCTCCATTCACTCCTATCAAGCACGCTCACGCATGCCTGCTGGAAGTCCAAGCCCCTCGCACACAAAACCTCCTTTACCCCCTCCCTCCAACCTTTCCTAGGCCGACCCCTACCCCGCCTTCCTTCCACTACAGACTGATACACTCTTGAAGTTATTCTGTTTCGCTCCATTCTCTCCACATGTCCGAACCACCTCAACAACCCTTCCTCAGCCCTATGGACAACAGTTTTGGTAATCCCGCACCTCCTCCTAACTTCCAAACTAAGAATTCTCTGCATTATATTCACACCACACATTGCTCTCAGACATGACATCTCCACTGCCTCCAGCCTTCTCCTCGCTGCAACATTCATCACCCATGCTTCACACCCATATAAGAGCGTTGGTAAAACTATACTCTCATACATTCCCCTCTTTGCCTCCAAGGACAAAGTTCTTTGTCTCCACAGACTCCTAAGTGCACCACTCACCCTTTTCCCCTCATCAATTCTATGATTCACCTCATCTTTCATAGACCCATCCGCTGACACGTCCACTCCCAAATACCTGAATACATTCACCTCCTCCATACTCTCTCCCTCCAATCTGATATCCAATCTTTCATCACCTAATCTTTTTGTTATCCTCATAACCTTACTCTTTCCTGTATTCACTTTCAATTTTCTTCTTTTGCACACCCTACCAAATTCATCCACCAATCTCTGCAACTTCTCTTCAGAATCTCCCAAGAGCACAGTGTCATCAGCAAAGAGCAACTGTGACAACTCCCACTTTGTGTGTGATTCTTTATCTTTTAACTCCACGCCTCTTGCCAAGACCCTCGCATTTACTTCTCTTACAACCCCATCTATAAATATATTAAACAACCACGGTGACATCACACATCCTTGTCTAAGGCCTACTTTTACTGGGAAATAATTTCCCTCTTTCCTACATACTCTAACTTGAGCCTCACTATCCTCGTAAAAACTCTTCACTGCTTTCAGTAGCCTACCTCCTACACCATACACCTGCAACATCTGCCACATTGCCCCCTATCCACCCTGTCATACGCCTTTTCCAAATCCATAAATGCCACAAAGACCTCTTTAGCCTTATCTAAATACTGTTCTCTTATATGTTTCACTGTAAACAACCTGGTCCACACACCCCCCTACCTTTATTAAAGCCTCTTTGTTCATCTGCTTATCCTATATTCTCCTCTTACTCTAATTCTTTCATAATAACTCTACCATACACTTTGCCAGGTATACTCAACAGACTTATCCCCCTATAATTTTTGCACTCTCTTTTATCCCCTTTGCCTTTATACAAAGGAACTATGCATGCTCTCTGCCAATCCCTAGGTACCTTACCCTCTTCCATACATTTATTAAATAATTGCACCAACCACTCCAAAACTATATCCCCACCTGCTTTTAACATTTCTATCTTTATCCCATCAATCCCGGCTGCCTTACCCCCTTTCATTTTACCTACTGCCTCACGAACTTCCCCCACACTCACAACTGGCTCTTCCTCACTCCTACAAGATGTTGTTCCTCCTTGCCCTATACACGAAATCACAGCTTCCCTATCTTCATCAACATTTAACAATTCCTCAAAATATTCCCTACATCTTCCCAATACCTATAACTCTCCATTTAATAACTCTCCTCTCCTATTTTTAACTGACAAATCCATTTGTTCTCTAGGCTTTCTTAACTTGTTAATCTCACTCCAAAACTTTTTCTTATTTTCAACAAAATTTGTTGATAACATCTCACCCACTCTCTCATTTGAATAATTAATAAGAATTTTTAATTGGACATTTATCTACAGTATTTTCTTTTTAGAAAATTATGAATTATTTGTGTTGTACTTAATGACAAATTTTATTTATTCTTTTTTTATTGCATCTGTTATTGTGACAAAAATTACAACAAGTGAATTTTACTCTTAACATTATATATTGTCACCCATGTTTTAAAACATTTTGGTACATATTATTATTATTATAATCAAAAAGAAGCGCTAAGCCACAAGGGCTATAGAGCATTTTGGTACATAGCCATATATGTATATACACTCAGTGGCCACTTTATTATGCACTCCCTTCTAGTCCTGGGTAGTGTTCCCTTATGCTCCCAGAACAGCCTGAATTCCTCTTGGCATGAATTCAATAAGGTACTGGAAACATTCCTTAGAGATCCATGTTGATAAGACACTTGTGCAACAGTCAGGTAACTTTATTCAAGAACATTTTGCCTACACAGTAGGCTTCTTCAGTCGAGTACAGAGGAGGCAGCAGAAGTAGTAGTGATGTAAAGTCTATGTAATCTGTCCATCACCCTTGAAGACATAGTTTTGAGGTGATCAGTCCCTCAGCCCAGACTGATTACATCATCTTTACATCTCTACTGCTTCTGCTGCCTCTACTCGACTGAAGAAGCCTACCGTGTAGGCAAAATGTTTTTGAATAAAGTTACCTGACTGTTGCACATTTCTTAACCCTTTGACTGTCGCGGCCGTATATATACGTCTTACGAGGTACCGTGTTTGACGTATATACTATACTCATAAATTCTAGCGGCTTCAAATCAAGCAGGAGAAAGCTGGTAGGCCCACATGTGAGAGAATGGGTCTGTGTGGTCAGTGTGCACCATATAAAAAAAATCCTGGAGCACGCAGTGCATAATGAGAAAAAAAACTCCAACCATTTTTTTTTTAATTAAAATGCCGACTTTGTGGTCTATTTTCGTATAGTATTTATGGTTGTATTATCGTTTTCTTGGTCTCATTTGATAGAATGGAAGATATATTATAGAAATAGAGGTGATTTTGATTGATTTTACTATAAAAAGAACCTGGAAATGGAACACAAAGTACGGGAAATGTTTGATTTTTGCCGATGTTCAAAAGTAAACAAATGATGTCATTGTCCAATAAATGTCCAAATAGCCATTCTAATATGCAGTCATGAATGGGTTGATGTAATTTTTACAATTATTACAGTATTGCAGTAGTCTGCATAACAGTAAATCTTCTATTTTTTGTTTGAATAAAATTTCAAAATAAGAAGCAAGAGTAATATCACAGGGGCCTGGAGACATGACTGATGAACAAAGAAAATGTTATTTTAGAGCCAGGAATGTCTGCATTGTTCATTCTGGTCCTTATTTGGAAATTGTCATATTTTTTAATTTTTGTGAAATTGGCCAAATTGCAAATTTCTGACCATGTTATTGGGTAGTTGAAATCGGTAAATGGGCAGTTTCTTGTGCTCAATCGATAGAAAAAATGGAGTTCTGAAGAAATAGCTATGAGTTTGGTTGACTGGAATAATGGAATTAGCCGAAAATAGGGCTCAAAGTGGGCAAAATTGACGATTTGTAAATATCGCCGAGGCCGCTAACTTCGCGAGAGCGTAATTCCGTCAGTTTTCCATCAAATTTCGTTTTTTTGGTGTCTTTACAATCGGGAAAAGATTCTCTATCATTTCATAAGAAAAATTAATTTTTTTTTTTTTTTAATTTTGTGACACCAGGAGACACCTCAGGATTGGGGGTTGCAACAGTCAAGGGGTTAATTATCAACTTGTTGGTATTGTATACCATTATCATATCATTCTGGTCCACATTGACATATCATAGTTGCTTCAGATTTCTCAACTGCACATTTATGCTGTGAATCCTCTGTTCCACCACATCCTGAAGGTTTACACCAAATTCTGACTCTACCATCTGCATGTTTGACCTACTCTCTGCACATCACAGCAGAAGTTGCAATTCGTCAGATCAGGAGGTGTTTTTCCAATCTTCAGCTACCCAATTTTGGTGAACCAGTGTATGCTGTTGCCTCAGTATCTTGTTTTTAGCAGACAGGATTGGAACCTGGTGTTGTAGCCCATCCACTTCATAGTTCTGCATGTTGTGCATTCAAATCTGCTCTTCTGCATACTGATTATTATTATAATCAGAAAGAAGCGCTAAGCCACAAGGACTATACAGCTCTTCTGCATACTACTGTTGCAATATGAGTTACTGCCAGCTGAGCAGTCTGGCTATTCTTCTGTGACCTCTCTCAGTAACAAGGTGTTTTTCACCCACAGAACTGTCATACACTGGATGCTTTGGTTTTCACACCTTTCTCTGTAAACTCTTAATAATGTAGTACATGAAAATTCCAGTAGGTTGGCAGTTCGAGATACTCCAGTCACCCTGTTTGGCACCAACAGTCATTCCACAATTAGTTACTTGGATCACATTTCTTCATTCAGATGTTTGGTCTGAACAGCAACTGAACCTCTTGACCATGTCTGCATTCTTTTAGGCATTGAGGTGCTGCCATGTGATTGGCTGATTAGATCTCTGCACTAATGAGCAAGTTTATAGGTGTACCTGATAAAGTGGCCACTGTGTGCATACGTGTGTGAACGCGTTTGTTTATACACATTTATATTTTTATTTATTTATTTATCATATTTGTGTAATATTATCTCCTCAATCTTAGGTCATGGATCATCACTGTCACTTGTCTCGTCATCATCATCACTATATAGTTCTCAAGAAGAGAAACAGGCGGCAGAAATACGAAAGCTGCGAAAAGACTTAGCTGAGGCACAAGAAAAAGTGGGAACACTAACCAATCAACTCACTACTAATGTAAGTTGTGAAATTGTTAAGGGTTTTCTTCAGGTATGTTTATTAACATTTTCATTTTTTTCTTAATGAAGTAGATTCCCAAACATTGATTTTACAATGCATACATAACATTAAGTTTCTTGATAATATTTTGTTGCATTTGTTTCTTGCACACAATGGGATATGTTCTTAGTGTTATACTTCACTGACTTTTTGAGCTTTGAGTTATTTATATAGTACTATCAGGATGCATTTGAATGTTATTAAAGGATGTGAAATAGAAATTAATGCTATAGAAATTAATCCTTAGTATGGTATTGAAAACATATCAATTAATTTCTTCATGATTTAACATTTCAAAAGCTTAGTTATTGACAGTTCATTAGTTTTGTGTTAATAAAGTTACTGACAACCAGCCAAAGATACAAGGTACTTAATTTAGAAGATAAATATGCTCAAAAGTGTCATCTAAATTAAAGCTTTATGGGGGGACAACTATGCATCCCTTTGTATAGAATTAACATGCCATATGAATATTTCAAAATTGTATTTTTTAGTCACTTATTTTTGAGTGCATGCCATGGTAAGAAAGCTGTTTTGTTAAAGTACTTTTCTTTTCAGAGTTCAGTTTTCAACCTCATGAATACGGTAATTATCAGTTGTCTTTGTCCTGGGTAAATAATGGTGGGTGATATCAAATTGCACGTAGTTGGGCGCTGTATCTTTGGGCACATCCTTTAAGTATTGGCTGGTTGTTGTCATTCTTACTTTCGCACGGCGTTAAAATCTTGTAGTTACACGGCGCTTCTCTCTCCAGGCTCACGTTGTTGCTGCCTTTGAACAGTCTCTCACAAACATGACCAACAGATTACAACAACTCACAGCCACATCAGAGCAAAAGGTATGAAATCTTTTGTAATACTGTATTTTTTTTTTTTGTATCCCCAAGAGAGAAAATTATATAGTTCTTAGGAATACTGCTACCCATCCTACCTTCCATCCTAAATTTATACACCATCATCCTATCCTCACTATCATCTCTAAATACCTAAATGACCTCAGCCCTCTGAATTAGCCCCTTGATGATCCCACATATTGTACTAATTGCTGCTGCTCTGAATTTTCTGCATAATATTTACACTACACATTACTCTGAAACATGAGAACTCCACTTCCTCTAGCCTCCTTACTGCAGTGTTCAAAACACATGCCTCACATCCATATAAAAGTGTACTACTAGATATTGATGATTATAAACCTATTGCTGCAGGATTAAACATTACAAAGTTCATGCCAGATGCATCATTTGTGAACATGAATTAAGGAACCTCAGACAAGGACTCCTATGGAATGTAAACATCACTTATGCAAGGTTTATAATTTTATGCAATATTAAAGTTACGTAATTTATTCTTTAATGTTTTGTAAACTTTTTGGGAATTAATAATTTTTAATAGATGAGAAGGCTAATTTGAGGTAGTAGGTTGGTAGACAGCAATTGCCCAGGGAGGTACTACTGTCCTGCCAAGTGAGTGTAGAATGAAAGCCTGTAATTGTTTTACATGATGGTAGGATTGCTGGTGTCCATTTTTCTGTCTCAAACATGCTAGGTTTCAGGTAAGTCTTGCTACTTCTACTTACACTTAGGTCACACTACACATGCATGTACAAGCATATATATACACACCCCTCTGGATTTTCTTCTATTTTCTTACTAGTTCTTGTTCTTGTTTAATTCCTCTTATCTCCATGGGGAAGTGGAACAGAATTCTTCCTCCTTAAGCTATGCGTGTTGTAGGAGGCGACTAAAATGCCGGGAACAAGGGGCTGGTAACCCCTTCTCCTGTATAAATTACTAAATTTAACAGAGAAACTTTAGTTTTTGTTTTTGGGCCACCCCACCTCAGTGGGATACGTCTGGTACGTCGAAAGAAGAAGGCTAGTAGGGGTAATGAACAAAAGCACATCACCTCTTATATACAAGAAAGTTTGAAGATCTGCTGATTCACCACTAGGGTAATTCTAGATATGGACTTGAACAGTGAATACAGACTTGAAAAGTAAAACATAAAACACTGGAGAAAGGAGCAGAGGGAACAAGGGTACTCTGATGACAGGTTGAAAAACTCTTGCCCTCCTGCATCCATTGCATTCTAAGTGGTGATGTAGCCTTAGGAACTCTAAGTCAAGATCTAAGAAGAATAATACCAGTTTAGCATTTGGAATGTCATCCTGAGGTAACTAGTACTGTAAGAATAATTACTATACGTTCAGGGGTTTGGCAAAATAATATGAACACCTCATTCCTTAACATATTTTATTTTCAGTATTGAATTGGTCCTCCACTTACAGCTAAAACAGCACCAGTTTGTTGAAGAATTGATTAATATAGCATTTGAACAGTATCCAGAGGAATTTTGAGTCATTCCTCAAGCAAAACCTGCTCTAACTCTTCCAAAGGTGATGGTGGAGGAAATTGGTTCCTGACTTGCTGTTACAATTGACCCCACAAATGCTCAATAATAATTAGATCTGGCAATTGTGGGGCAAATCCAAGCAGTTGACTTTACTTTCATGTTCTTCATGCCAGTTTTGAGCATTAGCAGTGTATAGTGGTGCATTATTATCTTTGGAAGATAGCGACAAAAAGGGACCTATAGCACATTTAAATTTATTATTCACTCATTTGATAGTTGAGTTGGCAGATGTTCATGTTATTTTGTCCAACATACAGTAAAACTTAAGAAAAATTTTGGAGGAACAAAATATTCATTATAAAAGAAAAAAAAGTTCACAGAGGACCATTTAAATGTCATGGGTCATTGTTAAGTCATAAAAATACAGTGGTATGTCGGGATACGAACTTAATTTATTCCACAAGGCTGTTCAACTGCCGATACTGAACGAATTTGTTCCCACAAAGAATATTGTAAATTGGATTAATCCGTTTCAGACCCCCAAAAATACGCTTATAAAAGCACTTGCATAAATCTTTCTTCTTTCAACACACCAGCTGTATCCCACCGAGGCGGGGTGGCCCAAAAGGAAAAACAAAAGTTTCTCCTTTTATATTTAGTAGTATATACAGGAGAAGGGGTTACTAGCCCCTTGCTCCTGGCATTTTAGTCGCCTCTTACAACACGCATGGCTTATGGAGGAAGAATTCTGTTCCACTTATCCATGGAGGTAAGAGGAAATAAACAAGAACAAGAACTAGAAAGAAAATAGAAGAAAATCCAGAGGGGTGTGTATATATATATGCTTGTACATGTATGTGTATTGTGACCTAAGTGTAAGTAGAAGTAGCAAGACGTACCTGAAATCTTGCATGTGTACGAGACAGAAAAAAAAGACACCAGCAATCCTACCGTCATGTAAAACAATTACAGGCTTCCGTTTTACACTCACTTGGTGGGACGGTAGTACCTCCCTGGGCGGTTGCTGTCTACCAACCTACTACCTAACTTACATAAATACACTTACAGAATTGTTCGAGTTTTGAGCTGTTCGTATCCCGAGGTCTTCTTTTTTTCAACACACCGGCCGTATCCCACCGAGGCAGGGTGGCCCAAAAGGAAAAACGAAAGTTTCTCCTTTCACATTTAGTAATATATACGGGAGAAGAGGCTACTAGCCCCTTGCTCCCGGCATTTTAGTCGCCTCTTACAACATGCATGGCTTACAGAGGAAGAATTCTGTTCCACTTCCCCATGGAGATAAGAGGAAATAAACAAGAAGAAAATAGAAGAAAACCCAGAGGGGTGTGTATATATGTGCTTGTACATGTATGTGTAGTGTGACCTAAGTGTAAGTAGAAGTAGCAAGACATACCTGTAATCTTGCATATTTATGAGACAGACAAAAAACACCAGCAATCCTACCATCATGTAAAACAATTACAGGCTTTTGTTTTACATTACTTGGCAGGATGGTAGTACCTCCCTGGGCGGTAGCTGTCTACCAACCTACAACCTAACTTACATAAATACACTTACAGAATTGTTCGAGTTTTGAGCTGTTCGTATCCTGAGGTACCACTGTATATTTCCCACGTTTGATAGTACATTAATACCAAATTACCATTCAATCTCTGGAAAACTTTAAAGGTACTCTTGTACAGAATATCAAGATTGCAAATCTTATGCATATACAGTAGGACCCCCTGCATCTGCGGGCGATATGTTCCAAGGACCTACCGTAGATACCAGAACCATGGATAGCAGCAAACCCTATGTATAAGTCCTGTACATACCAGTTATAAAGTTTAATTGATAAATTATGCACATTAAATGGAGAATTATCACTTTTTCACTGATGAGGAGCTTCTCTACTTTTGTGCTTTGGGGCCATTATTATACAAAATTAAGAGGTATTTTTGGGCTGCGGTAAACTGTGAATAATTGAAACCATGAGTACTAAATTGGTTAATATAGGATAAGGGGGAGATAAGGTCTGTAGTTCTTTGCAATAGCAAAGAACTACAGACCTATCTTGGCTGGAATATTTCTGCACACTAACAGCACCTTTCAAAGTAGGTGAAATTGCTGACTTAGAAAATGTACAGAGAACCTTCTTGGCACACAACTGCGATGAAACACCTCAGTTACTGGGAATGCTTGAAGTTTCTCAACCTGTACTCCCTAGAATGCAGGCGGGAGAGATACATGATTATATACACTGGAAATTTCTAGAGATTAGTACCAAACTTGCACACAAAAATCACTCCCTCTGAAACAGAAGACTTGGTAGACTATGCAACATCCCCTCAATGAAAAGCAGGGGTGCCACTAGCATGATATGAGACAACACAATAAGTGTCAGGGGCCCAAGACTGTTCAGCTGCCTCCCAGCATGCTTATGGGGGATTACCAATAGACCCCTGGTTGTCTTCAAGAAGGTGCTGGACAGGCACCTCAAGTCAGTACCTGACCAGCCGGGCTGTGAATGTTACGTCAGGTTGTGTGTGCCCAACAGTAACAGCCTGGTTAATCAGGCCCTGATCCACCATAGAGGCCTGGTTACAGACTAGGCTGTGGGGGACTTAACCTCCAAAACCCTCTCAAGTATACTTCAGGTAATATGAAAATTACTGTAGGCTCCTTGAATGCTGAAGGTGTAGTCATGTATGAAGAATTATTCCAGTTTCAGTGAGTGTGCTTCAAGCAGGATCTTAAATTGAAGCACAGTAGTCAAAAGGAATAGTGAGAAATTCTAACAATTACATGTGCCAGTGATGGGTGTAGTTCTTTAAGTAAGTTGTGAAATGAAGTAGCTAATAAGTTACTTTTCCCTAAAGCAGCATTTTAGATAAAGCTTCTACCAAGAAACAATACCTAAAGGCTGGAAATCTTCACAAAAGAAAGTTGAAATGCAGCAGAAAGCTTTACATACAAATGGCTTAATTTTAAAAGCCATTACCATTAATAAAAAATTCTGTTTATGAAAATTGGCTGACATTGCCAAGCAGTAGTGATATCTTAGGCATTAGGATGTTGCATAGGTGGGTTTTAATTCTATATACCACTTGGAACTGTAGAGTTGAAAAATTTATTAAGGTAATCTTGAATTTTCTTTCTTTTTTTTTTTTTTTAGGTCATCCTGACTCTGTGGGATACAGACTGGTCATTGAAAAAAAAAGATCTTGAATTTTCAGTAAATGTATTTTCTAAGGCTGTTAGGCAATAATTATAACATTCTTTTAACTTGTATACCTGGTAAACATATACATTTGATTAACAGTTTAAATTTACAATTTATTAAATTTATCGTTCTCATTCCAGGACTCAGAAGTCATGGAGCTACGAAAAACAATTGAAGCACTTCGGCAACAGTCTCTCGATGCTGGACTTACTGTAGCATGCCTGCAAAGTACGTCCCCTGACCAACATCACCACCACCACCACCATCACCACCTCCACTCCACCCCTTCCCCTACCAGGCACCACCATTCCCAGCACCCTCCCAACATTGCCTCGTGTTCTGTGCTCAATGTTACCACCGGAAGTCGTTCCAGTTCACCAGAAAAACCGGGTCATGATGTTGCACGCAGACACACTTTCACAGGGAATTGTAAAGACCTTGTAGTGTGTGAATTCAGTGAAGCTGGTGAGACTTTGTCACCTTTTGACAAGCAAGCAGGCTTCTCTTCTTTACTTCAAAGCTCATGCTGATTCTTATTGGCTGAGCTACTGACTTAAAGCAGCCAGGCATTGGCAACTAAAGAGTAACTGAATTATTACTTCATGAATCAACATACTACTGATCCATTTGGTTATGAAATGGTTAGGCATGGGTGATGGCAAACTGCAAGTCACAGAATGAGCTTCCCTCTCCTCCCATTTACTCAAGTGTCACATCCCTTAATGTCCTTTTCTTTTATATTATAATTTTTTTAAAATATTGTTAATTGTGCTAACAAGCTTGATGTTTTGCCATAAATAGTTTAAACTACAACTGGGAAAGCTTATAAGAATACTAAACATACTAATTGCCATGTTTAAACATTCTATTTGCATGTCTTTTATTTTCTTGACTTTGCCTCCTCTGTTGAAGCTTGCTGGCTTTTGGTGTACTCTGTTATTTATGGTTATTGTTTGCACATGTCTTGAATAGTTTTCAGTGCACAATATTCACTAGTAATTTTAGCACTGGTTTTGCAAAAGTGCAAGTGAATGTTTTCTCTCCTCTCTTTAAGGCAATTTTGTCATACTACTGAAAGCTTGTAAGAATGTTCTTTATTGTGGGTTAAGTGCTTCAGTTGATAATAATGTGCATTTGTTAGTGTTGTCATGCAGTGCTTTAGCATTTCCCAAGGTTGAACATCATTATATCAGATTTAAAGTAATGTCATAATTGGTAGTGTAATTATAATGCAAGACTCGAGTCCTGGAGGTGGGACGCACAGTGCCTGCACTCTAAAGGAAGGGAAGGGATATTGTTTGGAGGGACATTCTGAACAGTCATATCTATATCCTCTGGCAAGACAGTGATAGTGAGAATAACATTGAGAGTTTCTTTTTCAGGCCACCCTACCTTGGTGGGAGATGGCCAGTGTGTTAAAAAAGATGTACTTAAAGTAAAGGGCACTGAATGGCTAAAACATTGCTTACAAGTAAGATGCACATATATGCTATTTTTTAAATTATATGTAATGGCTTTCTTTGGGAAATTCACAGGAACCATCTTCACTATAATCCATTAATATTTTCATCAAATGTCATTTTGTAGTGATCAATACAGTAAACCACATGTTGTTTTTTACCATACTAAAACTCGCTTTCTGGTTGGGATATCAGGACACTTCTGGGAAGACGGGGATCGAGTGAATATTGAATGTTTTCTTTGGGTCACCCAGCCTAGGCAGGAGATGGCCATCAATTTAAATAAAATACAGTTCCACAAATATTTTTAGTATTGGAATTAGACTATAAAGGTGTGGGAATCGGTGTACATATAAGCATTTGGCATGAGATGGTTTGTTAAGGGCTCCTTCACAATCATAAGCAATGAGACTGTCCTCCAAGATACATTAATAAGGCACTGACTAGATAACTAACTTATTAGAGATGGCATGGTAAATACTGCTATATTGTGTGTACAGTAATACCTATGCATAGTGTTAAGACCATTTAAGTGTTCACCACATTTCAGGCTAAGTAAATTTGAAAAATGTTTGGTGTATAGCAGAAAGTTCCATCTTGTAAAATATCTATGGGAATAAGATAACGGAGCACAGTATCTACATCTACAAAGGTCTCAGTCCAAGTCTGCTTAGATATCGGAAAGTTTACTGTATTTCAAATTTATACTTGCTATTTTTGCCCAATAATGTGGAGAGGAAGCATTCATATGCATTATAATTTTTATGGAATATTTATTTTAATGCTTATTGATGTAGTCACATTCTCAACTAAGTTTTCCTGACAGGTGGTAAACTAGTGAGAGGAACATCTGTCGAGTCGGTGTCAAGTGTGTCATCAGCTTGTTCGGCAACATCTCACACCTCCAACCATGACAAGAGTGATAGCTCAAAATCAGGCAAAAAGAAGGGATGGGTAAGTTTTTAACCTTTTTGTTTAAACTGTTTGTAAATCAGTTTTCTGACAAAATTTATCCAATAAAACTTAGCTGAGGACCTGCAACAATACACTACAAACAAGCTAAAAGAGCTTATTTCTATAAAGTACTTTATAGAAAGCCTCTTGTTATGTAATGCACTTCAGGCAGCCTTAAACTTAATTACTGGACAGTGAGATACACATAGTACATGAGAATAAGAATATGTACTTTATACTATATTGAAAGTATTCAGTAATTTAAGAAACTTTTACTTAAATTACTTTTCCAGCTTACCTCATATACTGTACTCCTAAATACTGTATGTGCCTAACTCTTCTGGTAACCATCATTTACTCAAGTAAATGATGGGACCCAAATTTGGAAGAACTTGCCATTATAAGAAAAATAGTAATGAGGTGTGCATTAAAGGTAATGTACACAACTCCTGTTTAATAATGTTTCTTTCCAATAGCTTCGGAGTTCATTCAGCAAAGCATTCTCCCGTGGACACAAAAAGAGCAAGCATGGGGCATCGGGTGGCTCAGTATCAGATATGGAAGGCTGTGAACGAGGTGACTGCTCTGCTCCGCCTTCACCACAACTTCATCGAGCAAATGATGCAGACTGCCAGTCTTTGACTAGGTTAGTGTAAGTAGTATACACCTATATGTGATTCTGTTTCATTTTCACAAATGATCAAATGTTTATTCTCAAAAAATGAAAAGGATAAAAAAATTTCAGATGTGCAGATTCTGGATGAACAGTTGTCTATGACTTTGAGACTTATCATGCATAGTGTGTTTATAATTGTGGAGATCTTGGTTATTAATATACTATCAAATTTTCAAACTAAGAAAATTAGTGTTCATTTGTAGCAAGAAACTTTTCCCTGTAAGCCGTGCTTGTCATAAGAGGTGACTAAGATGCTGGGACCAATGGGCTAGTAACCGCTTCTCCTGTAGAAAATACTAAAAAAGTGAAGAAGAAAAACTATAAAACTGGGATGCTTGAATGTGAGTGGATGTAGTGCAGATAAGAAAGAGATGATTGCTAATGTTATGAATGAAAAGAAGTTGTGTGTCCTAGCTCTAAACGAAACAAAGCTGAAGGGGGTAGGTGAATTTCAGCTCTAACTCTCTGAGAGAGTTAGAGCTAAGGAAGGGGTAGAAAAATGTTGAAGGATCAGTTATGGAAGGAGAAGAGGGAATATAAATGTATAAATTCAAGGATTATGTAGATTAAAATGAGAGTTGGATGCAAAAAGTGGGTAATAATAAGTGTATGCACCTGGAAAAGAGAGGAGTGTATATGAGAGAGAGAGAGATTTTGGGAGATAAGCAAGCGTGTAGGAAATTTTGAATGAAGTGAAAGTGTAATTGTGGTAGGGGAACTATATGCAAAAGTAGGAGAAACATTTAAAGAGGGTGCCAGGTGTAAATGATAATGGGGTCCTTTGATTGAACTTTGTATAGAAAGGGGTTTGGTTATGGGTAATACATATTTCAAGAAAAAAAGAGGATAAATAAGTATACAAGATATGATGCAGGGCGTAATGACGGTAATTTGTTGGACTACGTAGTGGTAGATAAAAGACTGTTGGGTTGACTTCAAGATGTACATGTTTATAGAAGGGCCACAAATATATCAGATCACTTTTTAGTTGTAGCTACAGTGAGTGTAAAAGGTAGATGGGATACAAGGAATATGGAAGCTTAAAGGCTAAAGGAGGAGGCAGTTTGGGTAAGATGTAAACAAAAAACAGTGGGGTTGAAGATGTATGGGGTAGGTTTAAGAATGTAGTGTTAGTGTTCAGCTGAAGTTTGTGGTCACAGGAAAGTGGGTGCCAGAGGAAAGAAGGGCAATTGGTGGAATGATGATGTAAAGAGAGTAGTAAGAGAGAAAAAGTTAGAATATGAGAGATTTTTACAAAGTAGAAGTGATTCAAGGAGGGAGGAGTATATAGAGAGGAAAAGAGAGGTTAAGAGTGGTGAAACAATGTAAAAAGAGAGCAAATGAGAGTGGGTGAGATGTTATCAACATATTTTGTTGAAAATAAAAAAGTTTTGGAGATTAGTTGAAGAAGCCTAGGGAACAAATAGATTTGATTGTTAAAAATAGAAGAGGAGAGTTATTAAGTGGAGAGTTAGAGGTATCGGGAAGATAGAGGGAATATTTTGAGGAATTGTTAAATGTTGATGAAGATAGGGAAGCTGTGATTTCATGTATAGGGCAAGGAGGAATAACATCTTGTAGGAGTGAGGAGGAGCAAGTTGTGAGTATGGGGAAAGTTTGTGAGGTAGTAGGTAGAATGAAAGGGGTAAGCAGCTGGGATTGATGGGACAAAGATAGAAATGTTAAAAGCAGGTGGGGATATAATTTTGGAGTTGTTGGTGCTTTTATTTAATAAATGTATGGAAGAGGGAAAGCATGCATAGTTCCTTTGTATAAAGGCAAAGTGGACAAAAGAGAAAGCAGAAATTATAGGGGAAGAAGTCTGTTGAGTATACCTGGTAAAGTGTATGGGAGAGTTATTATTGAAAGAATTAGGAGTAAAATGTAGAGTAGGATAGCAGATGAGCAAGGAGGTTTAGGAAGGGTAGGGGGTGTGTAGACAGTGTTTACAGTGAAACATATAGGTGAACAGTATCATGATAAGAGTAAAGAGGTTTTTGTGGCATTTATGGATTTGGAAAAAGCGTATGACAGGGTGGCTAGGGAGGACATGCGGCAGGTGTTGCAAATGTGTGGAATAGGAGGTAGGTTAATGAAAACAGTGAAAAGTTTTTACGAGGATAGTGAGGCTCAGGTTAGTTTGTAGGAGAGAGGGAGATTATTTCCCAGTAAAAGTAGGCCTTAGACAAGGATGTGTGATGTCACCATGGTTGTTCAATATATTTTTAGATGGTGTTGTGAATGCTTGGGTGGTGGCAAGTGGTTTGGCAAGTGGGGGTTGTCACACTTGCTCTTTGCTGATGACACTGTGCTTTTGGGAATTTTGAAGAGAAGCTGCAGAGGCTGGTGGATGAGTTTATAAGGGTATGTAAAAGAAGAAAATTGAAAGTGAATATAAAAAACAGTAGGGTGATAAAAAAAAATTAGGTAACGAGAAATTGTATACGAGGTTGGAGGGAGAGATTATGGAGGAGGTGAATGTATTCAGATATTTAGGAGTGGACATGTCAGCAGATGGGTTTACGAAAGATGAGTTGAATCATAGAAGTGACAAAGGGAAAAGGCGAGTGGTGCACTGAGGAGTCTGTGGAGACATAGAACTTTGTCCATGGAAGCAAAGAGGGGGAATGCATGAGAATATAGTTATACCAATGCTCTTATATGGGTGTGAAGCATAGGTGGTGAATGTTGCAACAAGGAGAAGGCTGGAGCAGTGGAGATGTCGTGTCTGAGGACAATGTGTGGTGTGAATATAATGCAGAGAATTCGTAGTTTGGAGATTAGGTGGTGCAGGATTACCAAAACTATTATCCAAAGGGCTGAGGAGGGGTTGTTGAGTGGTTCGGACATGTAGAGAGGATGGAACAAAATAGAGTATGTAAATCTGTAGTGGAGGGAAGGTGGGGGTAGAGGTCGGCCTAGGAAAGGTTCGAGGGAGGGGGTAAAGGAGGTTTTGTGTGTGAGGGGCTTTGACTTCCAGCAAGCGTGCACGAGCGTGTTAGATAAGAGCGAATGAAAGCAAATGGTTTTTAGGACTTGACGTGCTGTTGGAGTGTGAGCAGGGTTGTGTTTATGAAGGGATTCAGGGAAACTGGCAGGCTGGACTTGATTCCTGGAGATGGGAAGTACAGTGCCTGCACTCTGAAGGAAGGGTGTGAAAGTGTAAGTGCACCTCTGGCAAGACAGTGATGGGGTGAATGATGGTGAAAGTTTTTCTTTTTCAGGCAACCCTACCTTGGTGGGAAACGTCTGATGTATTAATAAAAAAAAAAGCTGTGGCAAGAGCACAAGATTGATTATTTTATTATAAACAATGATTACTTCCATTTTTTTATGACATCAGCTATGGTAATTCTCCATGGGGATGTTGAACAGAATTCTTCCTCCGTAAGCCATGCGTGTCGTAAGGGGAGACTAAAATGCAAGGGGCTGTTAGCCCTTCATCTGTATACATTATTGAATTTAAAAAGAGAAACTTTCAGTTTTCTTTTTGGGCCACCCTGCTTTGGTGGGATACGGCTGGTGCGTTTAAAGAAGAACTATGGTAATATGTAATAGTGTATAAAGTGGACAAACATCTTTCATGCGAGTTACATTACAGAAAAGCAGAGCTATGTGTGAAAATGTGATGGGTATGGAGTGAACACCTTGTGGGAAAAATTGGGATACATTGCATCCCACCCCTAAACACACAGTTTACCTAAAATAATAATCTAAATATTGTACAATGATTTAAAAAAAAAATCAAGGAATGGGTGGGGTTTGACCCCCATGGCAAATAAGTCCTAAATTGCACTGGCCATGAATCAAACCCCACCTGTTCCATGGTTTGATTGCAGTCATGTTATTACAATTTTATTAGTCATGATTTTAAAAGGTGCACACTTGTGGGCATGTTATGGTATGATACAAGAGGATTGAACTTGGCATACCCTAATAGTCAAGTAATCTGAATACACTTACCCTAAATTCTGGTGGGATTGGACTGGATGAAGTTCGCCCTGTAATGTCCCGGCCTGGGTCTTGTCCAGTTGGTAACCCAGCACCAAATTCTGGTTGCTGTTGCATAATTGTCTTTATGTCAGTGGAGAGGCTTTGTGTCCCTACCGATCCATACCTGCTGCTGTGTGGTTAGCAGAGGTACTCGCACCACTGAACTTTGATATGAAACTTAATGTGCACTCTTGAAGCGATTAAGACATCTGTGACTAAAGGTACACTCATTTGAATGCTTTCCTTCCCTCTCTGTTTTATAGTAAGATGAAGCTTTCTTGTGGATTGCAAGGACATTAAGTGGTGCATATTTCTTTTTCTCCTGAATCCAGTCATTCAGCACTTTTTTCAGTTTAACTGTATTGACCACTTTCCCCATTTTTTCAACAGGTTCTAATTTGGGTTACTAATCACACAAGCTCTTATTTTCTCCCCACCTATTGTCTTAAATGAATTGTTGATTTCCTCACCCCACTGGTGGTGGCTCTGGTGGCCTGGTGGTTAACGCTCTTGCTTCACACGGTGAGGGCCTGGGTTCGATTCCCAGCCAGAGTAGAAACATTGGACGTGTTTCTTTCCACCTGTTGTCTATGTTCCCCATCAGTAAAATGGGTACCTGGGTGTTAGTCGACAGGTGTGGGTCGCATCCTGGGACACTGACCTAAGGAGGCCTGGTCACAGACCGGGCCGCGGGGGCGTTGACCCCCGGAACTCTCTCCAGATAAACTGGCCATGGCTGCATCAACCCCACACACACACACACACACCACACACACACACACACACACACACACACACACACACACACACACACACACACACCTAGTGTCTAATCGACATGTGCCTAGGACAAAATGGTAACTAACACACACACACACACACACACACACACACACACACACACACACACACAGTATAACATATCTGATACCTCTGTTTTCTTCACTAGAGGCATGGTTTCGTGTTGAACTACTACTCGGCACCTTCACCTACACTAGATTACCTTTTTGATATGATTAGCATCCACATGTGACACAGAGTGTTAAAATGATTGAAAATGGAGTGATAAAACAAGAGAATAACCGTATGATATGACCACAAGGTAGCTTGGGGATGAATATGTAGGAGGCGAGGTGGTAGTTGTAAACCAAGCATTCGAGAGGAATTGGCCTTCGTGTACCAATGCTGTGGTTGGCCATGTCAGAATACAAGGTGAAAACGGGTAGAGTGAAAGGTAGGAATAGATAAATTACAAACAGGTGGAAACACAGTAGGTGGTAGGACAAAAGGTGCTGTTTATTGTTTAGAGGGAAATACTGACAATATAATGGCCTTGATCATTTTATCTTGTGTTTGACGTGTATAGTATTTTCCTGCTTGATTACAAGTTTGGATTTTATGAGTTAAGAGTATTAACATAGCTGATATATTTAGCTTTCCAGCTTTGTTGCTAACTCTATATGGAGATTCACATTTTCAGTCTTGTTTAAAGCTGCTCAAATTCTTAATTTACATACAATATTAAAGTACAATATGCATACCTTATTGTGTCAACTGCACGTTGAGCTTTAATAATCATTACATTTCCTCTTACAGCTTGTGTATGGATAATAAGGGCAAGGAAGAAGATGTAGAAATCCTCAAGTGTCAACTGCGAGAGAAGGACATGGCTCTCACTGACATACGTCTTGAAGCCCTAACTTCGGCTCACAAACTAGAATCCTTAAAAGAAACTATAAGCAAAATGAGATCAGAAATGGTATCCTTAAAACAGGACAATGACAGATTACATAGACTAGTGTCTTCTAAATCTTTAAATTCTTCTCAAAGTTCACTTCCTGTGTCGGACTCGATAGAGCAAAGACTAAGCCTAGGCGAAGAAGTTAATATGCCTGACTCGTCAGATGTGATTCTAATTGACCCAAGTGATAAAGATGGGAAGAGAGTCAGTATCACAGTTTGTATGGGGTGTCATGGTGATTATGAAAAATATATGAATCCTGTAGATGGTATAACAGAAAGTGATTGTATTATAGGTGCTATTTCTGTAAGTGGAAAGACTAAGTGGGATATGTTGGACAGTCTAGTGAAGCGTATTTTCAAGGAATATATTCTGAGAGTTGATCCAGTGTCTAATCTTGGGCTAAGTGCAGAATCCATCCTCTCATATCACATTGGCGAAATTTCAAGAGGTCGTCACCCAGAATCACCTGAACTCTTACCCTGTGGATATTTGGTTGGGGAAGTGATGCACATAAAAATTATCCTTAAGGGAGCTACAATAAATCATGTTGATGCTTTAGCATTTGAGACATTGATTCCTAAATCAATCGTTCAGCGATACATGTCTCTTCTTACGGAGCACAGGAGAATTATTCTTTGTGGTCCCTCAGGCACAGGAAAAACATATTTGGCTCAGAAACTGGCTGAGTATTTAGTTACTCGAATGGGGAAGGATCCATCACCAGGATATATTGCAACTTTCAAGTATGTATGTTATTTTATTGTTGATTGAAGGGTGTAAATTTCATAAAAAATGAATAACCTGAGTAAAATTGTGAATCTCTTACTTATCAGGTAATTTTTACTTATCAACAGTCCTATGCAGTTTTATGTAGATTTGTTCCTTTGCTTTAATTGTATTTGAAAATTTTTACCTTTTAAGATCCAAAAACGAGAAAGTGATAGTATATGGAAATAAATATTAGGATGATTCATGTGGATGTGTACCCTAATAATTTCAACTTTACAACCACCAGTGTTGACCACAAGACAGGAAAAGATCTGGGAGCATACTTGTCCCACATTAGTGACCAGTGCGAGAATAACAGTGCCGATCTTCCGTTGGTTATCATATTGGACAACTTGCATCATGCTGGGGCTTTGACTGATGTGTTCAATGGTTTCCTCAGTGCAAAGTATACTCAGTGCCCATACATAATTGGAACCATGAATCAAACAACATCTTGTTCAACTACAAATTTGCAACTTCATCATAATTTCAGGTTTGTAAGAAGAATGTAATTTCAGTGTTGAAAATTCCTTATTTCTAAGTCCTCTTGTTTTGGTGAAAAAATAACTGCTAGTAATCTTATTTCTGTATTGTTATGCATTTCTACTTTTACTGTTATAGCTTATAGTATCTTTTGTTTATTCTTTGATCCTGTCACTTCAATTGTGATGTGATGAATCACTTAGTTTTAGGCCTGTGACCAGTCTTAAAGGGTTTTTACACTTGAAACAATCTGAGGCCAGGCTTTTCTGATTAGCCACATCTTGCAGGACCTTGTTAAGGTTCCTCTTGAGGACTTACAACTTTGTTGTAGCATATTTTTCAAGTCTTAAAAACTTATCCTATTTTTTTTTTTTTTTTTTTTTTTTTTTACAAGTTGTATAAATTTGGAGCATTATCAGGCTCATTACTGATCAATGTAGGACTTCATAAGCGAGTGCTCCATGATAACAGCATTTCCTTATATTCCTGGAACTTCTCAAGCTAATAATCTCTTATCTCTTGTGAAGGTTAACATTTTTTAATGCTTGAATATTGTTATTTCTAGACTTGCCTATGGGAATTATATACAGTGGACCCTCGAATTTAGTAGTGCCTTTTCTGTATGCAAAACTATTTTTATCTATAAAATGTATGTTTTGTTAATATTTCCCATAAGAAATAATGTAAATCCAATTAAACCATTCCAAACACTCAAAAATATTAACAAAATACATTTTATAGATAATAAAAATAGTTTTGCATACAGAAAAGGCACTACTAAATTTGAGGGTCCATTGTACAGTTAAATTTTTAGTTAAAGTAAATTGATATAGATGTCCTGACTTTACTATCCTGTATAATTTCCATAGGTATCATACAAATTATCAAGTTTTATTTTGTAATTTTTTTGATCTAAAACAATATTTATTTCAATCTTAGATATCCAAAACAAAAAATAATTCTCTTCTGCAATTTTAGCTGCAACACTTAATTGGAAGATTCCTCATTTGACATGCCACATTTTTCATTTGTCAGTTGTGTAGCTATTACCAAGTTTCTAATAGTTTTTTTTTTTTAACAAGTCGGCCGTCTCCCACCGAGGCAGGGTTTTTAATGGATTAACTTTTTTCTTACCTCTTAAATGCATATACAAAAGTTTTTCAAGACACTTTTCAGAAAACAGTCCATTAATGGTTAATATGAGATTGTACTGCACCACTAACAGTGACCTTGTACATTCAGGTGGGTGTTAATGGCAAACCACATGGAACCAGTAAAAGGCTTGGTTGGCCGAGTGGCTAGAAGACGATTGACACAAGTCGAGGTCGAGGCGGGATCTAGACTGCCCCGGTTACAGCAAGTGCTCGACTGGCTGCCACGTTGCTGGAGCCACATAAATAAATTCCTGGAGACTCACTCATCTTCAGATGTCACTATTGGTAAGAAGTTTTGTAACTTAAGTTTGTGTGCTATTTTTTCATATTTATTTTGAGCATTTGGATTCTTCTGTCTGAAATATGAAGAGATTATATGAATGCTGAAGTAGTATACATTCCTTAAACAAGCTGCAATAAAATGCATTGTATGGAAGAAACTTAAGCAACATTATTTTACTATTGCATTCACTAGAAGGGAGCTTAGTAGAATGTTAACTTAGGGCCTCTGAGGATGAGTCATAAATTGATAAGTCTTGTTTTGGTAATTGACATGTATGGTCTATGGCAAGAGATAAAATCATTAGTAATTTTTAAGTACAGGTAAATTTGAAACAGAAGACTATTATCTCAAACATGCAAAATGACAATACTGTAATTTATCTTGTGGTTCAAATCTGTAATACTGTACCATTGTTTTTGATTTGTACTACTATTTTTGAAGTTAACACATTTTTGTCTTCCCAGCAATTGAGTCTTAGCTCCTGGCCAATTTTTAATTGTATCCTTCCGGTTTCTTTTCATACTTCAGTTAAATTTTTTTTTTTAACGTGTCAGCTGTCTCCCACTGAGGCAGGGTGACCCAAAAATAAAATACTTTCACCTCGCTCATAAATAATCACTGTCTTTGCAGAGGTGCTCAGTTTAGAAGTCCCAATATCCCAGACCCCTCCTTTAAAGTGCAGGCATTGCACTTCCCATTTTCAGGACTCAAGTCCTGCTAAATCTATAATAACCAGTTTCCCTGAATCCCTTCACTAAATATTACCCTGCTCACACTCCCACTTACTTTCACACTCAAGTCCCAAAAACCATTCACCTCCATTTACTCCTATCTAACATGCTTGCTGGAAGTCCAAGCCCCTCGCTCACAAAACCTCCTTTGCCCCCTCCAACCTTTTCGAGGACGACCCCTACCCTTACTTCCCCTACAGATTTATACGCTCTCCCAAGTCATTCTGCTTTGATCCATTCTCTCTAAATAACCAAACCACCTCAACAACCCTCTTCAGCCATCTGACTAATACTTTTAGTAACTCCTCACCTCCTAATATCCACACTCCAAATTCTCTGCATAATATTTACACCACACATTGCCCTTGGGACATCTCATCTGCCTCCAGCCCCCTCCTCACTGCAGCATTTATAACCCAAGCTTCTCACCCATATAAGTGTGTTGGTACCACTATACTTTCATACATTCCCTTCTTTGCCTCCAAAGATACCTCAATGCACTACTCGCGTTTTTTCATTCGTCAATTCTATGATTAACCCATCCGCTGACAAGTCAACTCCCAAATATCTGAAAACATTCACTTCTTCCATACTCCCTCTCTCCAATGTGATATCCAATTTTTCTTTATTTAAATCATTTGATACCCTCATCACCTTACTCTTTTCTATGTTCACTTTCAACTTTCTACATTTACACACCATCCCAAAGTCGTCTACTAACCTTTGCAACTTTTCTTTAGACTCCCATTTTGTACTTGATTTCCCATAATTTAATCCCACTCCTCTCCCCAACACCTTAGCATTTACTTCTTTTACAACCCCATCAATAAATATATTAAACAACCATGGTAACATTACACATCCCTGTCTAAGACCCACTTTTACTGGGAAGTAGTCTCCCTCTCTCCTACACACCATAACCTGAGCCTCACTATCCTCAAAAACTTTACAGCATTTAGTAACTTACTATCTATTCCAAACACTTGCAACATCTGCCACATTGCTCCCCTCTCCACTATCATATGCCTTTTCTAAATCCATAAATGAAATGAAAACTTCCCTACCTTTATCTAAATACTGTTCACATATATGCTTCAATGTAAACACTTGATCTACACATCCCCTACCCACACTAAAACCGCCTTGCTCATCCGCAATCCTACATTCTGTCTTACCTCTAATTCTTTCAATAATAACCCAACCGTACACTTCACCTGGTATACTCTGTAAAAATTATAGGGGAATAAGTTTACTATCTCTTTTGTCCCCCCCCCCTCCCCCACTATACATGCTCTTTGCCAGTCCCTAGGTACCTTCCCCTCTTTCATACATTCATTAAACAGAAATACCAAACACTCCAACACACTATCTTTCCCCCGTTTTTAACATTTCTGTCATGATCCCGTCAGTTCCTGCTGCTTTACCCTTTTCATTCTACATAATGCCTTGCTCACCTCCCCTACACTCACATCCTGCTCTTCTTCACTCCTAAAAGATGTTATACTTCCCTGACCAGTGCACGAAGTTACTGCCTCCATTTCATCATCGACATTTAACCCTTTGAGGGTCGACTGGCCCTCTCCGAAACTCGTTCTCAGGATCGGCCAAATTTCAAAAAAAAAAAAAAAATTTTTCTTATGAAAAAATAGTTTTTTTTTCTAAATATTATAGGCTAAAAAAAAAATTTTTACCGTCAATACTTACCGAGATATGGAGGCGTGAAGTTTGCCAAAATTGAACAACATCTGGTAAAACGCCGACTGCCGTCACCGGTATTTTTCTATTTACTTTTTTATGTCTATTTTCAATTTTTTTTCAATTTTTTTTTTCTGAGTAACTTTTGTGCCTCAAACCAATAGATCAGTATTTTGTAATTTATTTCTTTTCAATACTAACAATAAGGGGCGTAAACCTTTTTCTTTATTTGTTTTAGAAAATATTTACAAAAAACAAAGAATTTGAAATTTCTATTACTTTTTTTCTTATTTTATATACAAAATTACGTACGGGGAATTTCAGAATTTTGGGTCTGGGGAAGCTTTGAAACTGGTTCTGCACAGTGGTGTTTTACATTCCTCCACATAAAACGAGTGTCTCTGCGTTGTTGGGGGCTTTTTTTTGTTGGCACAGAGCCTTTTTTTTGAAAGCAAGCACATTTTACCGGGGAATACCCCATGCTTCAAACGAACAGGTAGTTGTTGATAATTTGGTGGGGGGTCATTTGCGGGTGCTGTTTCCTTGGTACTTAAATATTTTGTCTGATGAAAACAAATTCCCGACTGTGGTTTTGTTTCTGGTCCCATCTTATATATTATAAGCATTGAGCATGGAAATGTCCAGAGAGGGAAAAAAAAATTTTTGACCACTTATAACTTTGCAAACCCAAACTGCATGTCAATTTGTCACTGAACATGTTTAAGGGGTAATCAGTCACGCTGCGTTTTAGAAAAGGGTCATTCTCTTCCCTTTCTGCCTGCCCCTGTCTGCCATTTTATTAGGGGGAACTGAGACAACGTGTACATCTCATTTGTCATGCCATGATGCATTGGGCCCCAAACCCCGCACCCACTTACAGTGCCCGCGCAAACGGGGATATTTTCCGATTTGCCGCACTGTGCCACCACATTGTCATGTTCACGCAAAAAACACTGAGTGATGGGTTGTGTTTCCAGTTATCTGTATATTATATCCCCTTTCCAAGGTATGGGTTTTATCATTGTTCTAACCCCCTCACCTGAGAGCCCCAAAATTCTGGTATTTTGCAAAGTATAACTTCAGTGTACACAATAATATCCAATACCAGCCCCTGTAACAATCACAAACAAAACAACTTTTTACCAAAGGTTTCCCCTTTCTTGGTATGTACTGCTTGAAAAAGGGCTTTTCCTTTTAAAAAAATCAAAGATCGTCAATTTCAACTTCGAAGGGGTAAAAATCGTACTGAATTTTTCTTTCAGATACACAAAACACTTTCCCAACTTATATAAACCCGTCAGGGCCCGGGTTTTTTTGAGAAATAAAATACGTAACATTAAAAACCCAAAACAATTCACGGCATTAATCATGAAACCTGGGGTTGAATCAGGTGGCTGTTGCCAGTATGATTTCACTTTGTGCTTAATATGGGCATAAGCATTATTTTGGCAAAGAAAAGATAATCTCAGCCACAGTTGCCTCCTTCCACTGGGGTAACTGATTTTGGTGAAAGTAATGTGTTTGCCATGGTGTACTCGAAAGTATGTGTTCTTTCCATGACAAACTTTCCATCAGTGGTTCGTCAAAGAATAACTCGAAACATTCCAGTTCAGTGGCATTGTTCCCAAGTGTACAAGATGGCCGTATTCCACTTTGGCTGTCATCAAACTTGTGGGCATTTGGAACAAAATTGACAGCTTCCTGCCAATCCCAGGTGCGGTCTGCTGGGGGTACTGGACAATGACAGGTGGTTGTGTTGTGGAGGTTTGGTTTGGTGGAGGCTGGTGTGGTGGGTGGGTGGGATGGTGGCCTTTTTTGTAGATCAGCTGAGGCAGCGGCGGGTGGCAGCATGGCCCACTGCTGGCCTCACCCCCGGGCACCACTACCACCCACACACATTTTCCATCCCAATTGAAACAGTATCATCGTTATTTTCACTCTCTGTTCCTGTTGTACAGCCACGGGATGTACTCCGAGATGCACTCCTCCCCTTGGGAATAGCATGTGGCACACTACCAGAGCGCATATATCGTCGTATATACTGACGCTTCACTGGGGAATATTGCACTTCACTATCACTACGGGGAAACTAGTTTGAAGAGCTTGTAGTTCATATTCACTATCACTATCATCACCCATGCTCTCATCTGAGTCTGGATTTGGGAAAATAGAAGTTCCTCTTGGATTCTGGTAAAAACTGAACGTGAACAAGACGGCCCAGCACCAGGGGTGGAAGGCTGAATGTCGTCTGGGTTTTCCTCACTATTACCGATATTATGGTCATTAGTTTCGGTCAAAACCTCACCAAAACCTTGAAACTCATCTTCACTGGCACTTCCATCTGTATTAGAACTGTCACTGGGGAACAAAAGTGTCCCAATTCGCCGAGGAGTGAGGAGCTTCTTACCGCGAGGCATGGTGGACATTGTTTACTAAGATGGCGTTCCCACAATGCACCACTGGTCCCAGATTTTTTTTTCTACCGCGCCACACCAACCACCAGACCCATTCTCTCACATGTAGGCCTACCAGCCTTTTCCCGCGATGATTTGACGGCGCTAGAAATTTGTGCGTACTAGTACGTCCAAAACCCGGCGCGTAAGACGTACTAGTACGTCCGAAACCCTCAAAGGGTTAAAAGTTCCTCAAAATATTTCCGCCATCTACCCAATACTTCCACCTCCCATCTACTAACTCCCCTATTGGCAAATCCATTCGTTCCCTAGGCTTCTTAACTTGTTTATCTCACTCCAAAGTTTTTTCTTATTTTCAGCAAAATTTTTTGCCAGTGCCTCTCCCACTCTTCATCTGCTCTCCTTTGCACTCTCTTCACCTTCTTGTACTCTCCATATACTCTGCTCTTCTTACAACACTTCTGCTTTGTAAAAGCCTCACATATCCCTTTTATAATTTGCAAAGCTGCATGACCTTACTAATGACATTAGACAACAGTTATTAACCCCTTGACTGTCACAACCCCCAATCCTGAGGTGTCGCAAAATTTAAAAAAAAAAAAAAATATTTCTTTTTATGAAATGATAGGGAATCTTTTCCCGATTGTAATGACACCAAAAAAACGAAATTTGATGAAAAACTGACGGAATTACGCTCTCGCAAAGTTAGTGACCTCGGTGATATTTACAAATCTGTGATTTCGCCCACTTTGAGCCCTATTTTCGGCTAATCCAGTTGACCAAACTCATAGCTATTTCTTTAGAACTCCATTTTTTCTATCGATTGAGTACAAGAAACTGCCCATTTACCAATTTCAACTACCCAATAATGTGGTCAGAAATTTGCAATTTGGCCAATTTCACGAAAATTGAAAAATATGACAATTTCAAAATAAGGTCCAAAATGAACAATGCAGATATTCCTGGCTCTAAAATAACATTTTCTTTGTTCATCAGTCATGTCTCCAAGCCCCTGTGATATTACTCTTGCTTTCTATTTTGAATTTTTATTCAAACAAAAAAAATAGAAGATTTACTATTATGCAGACTACTACAATACTGTAATAATTGTATAAATAACATCAACCCATTCATGACTGCATATTAGAATGGCTAGTTGGACATTTATTGGACAATGACATCATTTATTTACTTTTGAACATCACCAAAAATCAAACATTCCCCTACTTTGAGCTCCATTTCCAGGTTCTTTTTATAGTAAAATCAATCAAAATCACCTCTATTTCAATAATATGTTTTCCATTCTATCAAATGAGACCAAGAAAACGAGAATACAACCATAAATACTATATGAAAATAGACCACAAAGTCGGCATTTTAATTGAAAAAAAAGTCAGTTTTTTTTTCTCATGCACTGCGTGCTCCAGGATTTTTTTTATGTGGTGCACACTGACCACACAGACCCATTTTCTCACATGTGAGCCTACCAGCTTCTTGATTTGAAGCCGCTAGAATTTATGAGTATATACATGTCAAACACTGTACCTCGTAAGACGTATATGTATGGCCGCGACAGTCAAAGGGTTAAGATTCACAAATTACTAATTTCAGATAATTTTAGTTTTTTTCATATTTAATCAAACCAGAATTTTTTTTTTTTCAGGACCTCGCCTGTTCCTGTCTTGCCCTGGCTCTCTAGAAGGGTCTCAAGTTTGGTTTACAGATTTATGGAATTACTCTCTTGTACCCTACCTAATAGAGGCAGTTAGAGAAGGGCTTCAGCTGTATGGAAAGAGAGCTACTTGGGAGGTATAGCATTCTTCATTAAGTTACTTCAGAATTACCTAATTTTGTGACTTTGTAAATGATAAACCAGTGTTCAGTACCCTTATAGCTAGATTGATAGTCTTGTTTAAAGCAGAGAAAGCTGCTATATAACACCAAATATTGATTATAACCATGAGAATGTATTGGCTTAATGAAATTTTCTTTCAATTTCTGACCATCTTTATAGTATCCTACAATCTGAACTTCAGTAATTTTAAAAGTAACATGAGGAATTATACTCTAAGTGTAGTCAGTGAACATATATTTTGCACAGGACCCAAGTACATGGATCACAGAGACCTACCCATGGCCCCCTGGAACACATGCAGGACCACAGGCTTTGTTGTCTCTTCGACCTGAGGATGTCGGATATGACGCACTTGCACCAACTGTCACAAGCACACAAGATAAATTCAAAAGTGATAACCAAGGAGAAAATGACCCACTGGTAAATAATGACAGTAGTATTGAAAACATTTATGGAGAACATAGCATGCTACCTATTAGAAGTACATACCTTGGGAGGCCTCTTGTTCATTTTCATGCTGCTCTTGTATTTAATTATTTTTTAACCTTAATGGCCATCTCTCAAGGCATGGTTACCCAAAGAAGACAACACACACTGTATTGCCAGAAGTGTGCTGACATCACAATTCAGGTTACCGTCTGACTGCAACATTCCTACCCCACCTTTAGATTGCAGGCACTGCTCTTCCCATCTCCAGGACTAGAGTACAGCTAACTTGGGTCTTCTGAATCCCTGCCTCACACCCATACAAGTGTTGGTACTACTATACTACTCTGTACCTTCCCATTTTTGCCTCCACAGGTGCCCTATCTCACCAGATAAACATTCCTTAGTATAAACAACCGTGATGACATTACACATCCTTACTTTCCTTGGGAAGTAGTACCTGTCATTTGCAAAATCTATCCCAGACCTACATTTTTCCCAATAGCTGCTTATATCTTACACTGTCTGCTCGAGCTTATTCTCTCTGATGCTTTTTTTTTTTTTTCTCCATCTTGCTGAATGATTCAACATAGCTGGCTGTCTTCTAAAAACAAGCACATTCAGAACTGTACCCATTAATCTTTTATCTAGTAAACCAATCTGGCATACTGTTGCCAGTGTTCACTTTCTCTTGTATACATTTCCTTAATGCAAGTATTACATAATCTCTATAATTCAATTAGAGGCCCGTATTATCATTTACCACTAGTACTCCCACCATTCTTTTTCCTTTCACATTACATTTGTCCACCAAAAAAAACAAATTGCATACTAGGTTTTTCTTTTGATCTTTACACTTACTTCTTGATCCAAGGAATTTATCCTGTGCTAAATAACCCCTATGGGTTTAGTGCTTAAATGTCTGCATCCATGTAAAGACAGTTGTTAATCAAATAATAAAAAAAAGACGACTAAGTCGAGATTGAGTAGGCATTTAGAAAGGAGAACATGCTGATAGGTATACAGTAGACCCCCACTTATACGGCGGGTTAGGTTCCAGGCTATCGCCGGAAAGCAGAACACCATTTATTCCATTTATAAATGCATATAAATGCCAGACAACAAGTTTACACTAAATTATATTAAGTTAGTAATAGAACTAGGCATTTAAAACAAAAAGTAAAATACATATTATCTTAAGGTATTTGTAATCTTAATCTTAACCGGCGTGCTGGTTTCCCTGAACCCCTTTATAAATGTTACTTGACGTGCTGTTGGAGTGTGAGCAAAGTAACATTTATGAAGGGGTTCAGGGAAACCGGCAGGCCGGACTTGAGTCCTGGAGATGGGAAGTACAGTGCCTGCACTCTGAAGGAGGGGTGTTAATGTTGCAGTTTAAAAACTGTAGTGTAAAGCACCCTTCTGGCAAGACAGTGATGGAGTGAATGATGGTGAAAGTTTTTCTTTTTCGGGCCACCCTGCCTTGGTGGGAATCGGCTAGTGTGATAATAATAATAATAATAATAATAAAAAAAAAAGTACTTATTTGTAGAAAGTCAAGTGTAGGTAGCCCTGGCTCCCCGTCTCATACTTAATATACGATATTTAAAACATCCCAGAGAGTTAAAATACACATACAGTACACTCACTATTTACATTAAAATGTCTGTAGTCTTAATGTAGGAAGAGAGGCGAGTAGTATTTATTTGTAGGTAGCCGGTAGGTGTAGCCCGCCTGGGCATCTGACTAAGACCTGCGTCAGGAAACATTTGTCCTGTTTCCTGACGAACCTTACCTAACCTAACCTAACCTACCTACACTGTGGCCCAGAACCATATTGTTAACATTGACATACCTTGTTCACTGAATTTAATTGTTTCTAACAACTGCCTTTAGATGCCATCATAAACGAAGGGAGATGAATAATTCATGCCGAAAATTGTAAACAAAAGTGGAGTGGGGGAGTGGCTGGGCCAAATGCAGATTCATACGTGTTTTCTCTGGTGCCTGACCAGAGAAAACGTATTGTTAGCCCTCCGCCCAGCTACCACACAGGTCCACAAGTATTATTATCAGAGCACATATAAAATATGCAATAAATGCCAGACAAGAAGTTTACACTAACTTATACAGTGGTCCCTCGTTTTTCGTAATTAATCCGTTCCTGGAGGAGCTACTATAAACGAAATTTACGATTTGCGAATCAATTTTCCCCATAAGAAATAATGTAAATACAATTAATCCGTTCCTGACACCCAGAAGTATTAAAACAAAAAATTTTTTTACATGAAATATACATGTAGTACATAAACAATACAATGGGAAATGATGAATGAAACATTAACAGCATAACACTTACCTTTATTGGAGATTCTTCTTAGTGTATGGGAGACTGGAGGAGGAGAGAGATTGGATTGTTTACAGTTTGGAAGGGGAATCCCCTTCCAGCAACACCTTAGGTACCAATTTCTTCTCTGGGGTTGCTTCTCTTCTTTACAGTTTGGAAGGGGAATCCCCTTCCAGCAACACCTTAGGTACCAATTTCTTCTCTGGGGTTGCTTCTCTTCTCTGTTTCTTAATGCCACTAGGACCACCTTGAGAGTCACTCTAGTCCTGTTCGCAAAGTAACTGTGGAGAGAGCTCTGTTTCTGGCGTCTCTTTAACACTTCCCTAAAATGGCCCAAGACTTTGTCACTGTACATATTTCTCACCTTCTTTACCACAGGCTTGGCACTAGGAGCCATGGTAGCTTATTTAGTATTTGCAAGCACTAAAATGAGTGGAATATTATGAAATATTTCGTAGGAGCACTTGAGGGGACCTTCACTCACTGGTAAACAATGCCAGACTGGCTGGGTAGGGAGGCCACCCCAGCTCACACCGTGCGTACGCGTCCCGGACGAACTACTATTCGCGAGTCAACCTATGAAAAGCGAGTCCATGTTTATACGAAAATACCCCTATGATTGGCGAAATTTATGATTGCCGAGAACTATGAAAAGCGAGGGACCACTGTATTAAGTTAGAAATAGGCATTAAAAACAATAAAAGGTAAGATACATACAGAGTACACTTACCTTAAAATATTAATATTGTGTGAGAGGCAAGTGGCAGGGTGTTTATTGAATAAAATCAGAATGGCACACCATCATCCTCTAACTTGGCACTTAAAGCAAGAGGCTTACAGCTACGCTTAGACGCCATTGTCAATGAGAGCCAACTAGTTAGCGAAAAAGTAAACGAGAGAGAACAAGATACAGAGCTCAGACAATATAAGAACACAGACTGAACAGGTAGTGGGCAATCACTTTGTCAGGCGAAATAAATGCGTATTAATGTGTGTACTTTTACAGACGTACGTGAATGAACTAAGAGTTTGTAAAACTTTTACCTCTCAATATTTTTTTATAATAATTACCTCACAATACAAATACTCTTACATTGTGTACAAGTTAGTACAGAATAAACAAACAGCAACACTTCCATTTTCATGCAACACACCATTTTTAGAGTGAATGATTGATATCATCAAAAAAACGCTAAACCTACAAGGGTCGTGAATTGTTACATATAGAGTGAAGCCATACGAAAGGAATATTTTTCTACAGTTATCCCCCAGTGTTTGACTAGAGAAAACAATTCTTCCAACACTACCCACACAGCTGCTTTGTAAACAGATCTCATATTTACATCAATTTTTTATTCTTTGAGTGTATGTTTTTATTTTTTCTATTATCACACTAGCCGATTCCCACCAAGGCAGGGTGGCCCGAAAAAGAAAAAACTTTCACCATCATTCACTCCATCACTGTCTTGCCAGAAGGGTGCTTTACACTACAGTTTTTAAACTGCATCATTAACACCCCTCCTTCAGAGTGCAGGCACTGTACTTCCCATCTCCAGGACTCAAGTCCGGCCTGCCGGTTTCCCTGAACCCCTTCATAAATGTTACTTTGCTCACACTCCAACAGCACCATTTGTCTCCATTCACTCCTATCAAACACGCTCACGCATGCCTGCTGGAAGTCCAAGCCCCTCGCCCCACAAAACCTCCTTTACCCCCTCTCTCCAACCTTTCCTAGGCCAACCCTACCCTGCCTTCCTCCACTACAGACTGATCCCACTCTTGAAGTCATTCTGTTTCGCCCCCATTCTCTCTACATGTCCGAACCACCTCAAAAACCCCTTTTCCTCACCCTCTGGACAACAGTTTTGGTAATCCCCCACCTCCTCCTAATTTTCCAAACTACGAATTTTTTCTCTGCATTATATTCACACCACACATTGCCCTCAGACATGACATCTCCACTGCCTCCAGCCTTCTCCTCGCTGCAACATTCATCACCCATGCCTCACACCCATATAAGAGCGTTGGAAAAACCCTAAAAAATTTTTTCTCATACATTCCTCTCTCTGCCCCCAAGGACAAGTTCTTTGTCTCCAAGACTCCTAAGTGCACCACTCACCTTTTCCCCTCATCGTTTGTGATTCCCACCTCATCTTCATGACCCTCGCTGACATGTCCACTCCCAAATATCTGAATACATTCACCTCCTCCATACTCTCTCCCTCCAATCGATATTCAATCTTTCATCACCTAATCTTTTTGTTATCCTCATAATCTTACTCTTTCCTGTATTCACCTTAAATTTTTTTCTTTTTGCACACCCTACCAAATTCACCCCCAATCTCGGCAACTTCTCTTCAGAATCACCCAAGAGCACAGTGTCATCAGCAAAGAGCAGCTGTGACAACTCCCACTTTGTGTGTGATTCTTTATCTTTTAACTCCACGCCTCTTGCCAAGACCCTCGCATTTACTTCTCTTACAACCCCATCTAAATATATTAAACAACAACGGTGACATCACACATCCTTGTCTAAGGCCTACTTTTACTGGGAAAAATTTCCCTCTTTCCTACATACTCTAACTTGAGCCTCACTATCCTTGTAAAAACTCTTCACTGCTTTCAGTAACCTACCTCCTACACCATA